ACTCTAAGTTCTTAGTATCGCAGAGGTCAAACAAGACATCCCGTCTGTTTGTATAGATAAGAAGAATATTTACGGACTTCCCATTGGACTCAGATTTCAAGGAACAACTGAAGGGGCTGTAGTCAATTCAGACAAATAATCGATCGGATAACCCCGTGGATTTGATGAACCTGTCCAACTAATGATGATGCCTTAGAAAGAAAGAAAAATATGAATTCATCATCCCACTAAGGCAGTGTTTCTCAACCTTGGCAACTTGAAGATGTCTGGACTTCAACTCCTAGAATTCCCCAGCCAGCGAATGCTGGCTGGGGAATTCTGGGAGTTGAAGTCCAGACATCTTCAAGTTGCCAAGGTTGAGAAACACTGCCTTAGTGTATCCTGACATCAGTTCCATGATTGCAACATGGCAACCTGGGTTCACCGACAAATGCGCGATAGACATATGTGCGCCGACAAAACCGTGACGGACAAATGAGCGCCGTCAAAATCGCTAATTGATTTTTGACAAATGTGCGCCGACAAATGCGCGCCGACAAAATCGCGCCCTAACCCTAACCCTAAAAATTTTTTCGATTTTATTGTGCTTGTCATCGCGCTTTTGTCGGCGCGATTTTGACGTCGCGAATTTGTGGGCGCGATTTTGACGTCGCGTTTTAATCGGCGCTGTTTTGTCGGCGCGCATATGTCTCTCGCGCAATTGTCGGGTCACGGGCAACCTGAACATCAGAAGCCACAGACGTAGGAAATGATACCCTTCAACAGGATATGCTGATCTCTCATTCTGAAGAACCAGATTGTGGAGCACCTCCTTCCACCTTCCGAATACCTATCTTATTCTGATTTTGCATAACAAATCCATGACTTGATTGCATTCTCCCATGGAGCAAAAGTGGTTAAAGGACACTCCTTACACCACAAGAGAACAAAATCCCAATACCTGCCTTGAGATTGTATTCAGATTCTTCTTGCCTCCCAATTTGCTTCGCCTTTTGTTTTGGCTCGATCCACCTGTCTCTTTCTCACTTGCTTAATTTGAAGCAATTTCTACTTATTTAACATGCTTATTTTATTTCAACCTAAATATGCCAACAGGACTAAAATGCTGGTTCTCTCAAACACAAGCATGAATCTGTGTAGGGAGGTAGGAAACTAAACTTATATTATCTTATAGATTTTTATAAGAGCCATGGTGGTGCAGTGGTTAAAATGCAGTATTGCAGGCCAACTTATGCTCACTGCCTGGAGTTTTATCATGACCGGCTCAAGGTTGACTCAGTCTTCCATCCTTATGAAGTCCATAAAATGAGGATCCAGATTGTTAGGGGCAATATGCTGACATTTGTAAACCTCTCAAAAAGTGCTGTAAAGCAGTGGTTCCCAAACTTGGCAACTTTAAGACTTGTGGACTTCAACTCCCAGAATTCTCCAGCTAGCTGAGCTAGCTGGAGAATTCTGGGAGTTG